CAAGGCTTCTTGGCTAGCTAGAAAGATTGACATTCAAACGTGAGTTTACATACCCTTTCTGAGTTCTGGTCTAAAACTGTTTTTTTTAATTCTGTGCTTGGTGACGTTTAATCCTGTGTTTACTGATGGGATAATTTTCTCTATTCAGCTTCAACAAGCAACAGCTACTGTTGTGATTTAATTATTGTATTGTGTTTGAATTTTTTCCTGCCTTATGGTTTGTTTTTCTATCTGGGGAGGGGGGTCTTCCTTCACTGCTTTAGTGGTACCTGGAACTGTCCTTTTGGGGTATACTTCCAAGAGGCAGGATGCAAGCTTGGCACTGTTTTTTTAAAACTTCCTTTCTGGGAGGCATTCTTAAATCTGGATGATTTCCTTAGGGTATCTTGTGAGGTGAGTGAGACCAGCTGGTATCTTTAAGTGGTGCAAATGCTTTTCTTTGCATTGCTTTTCCTGCGTGTGCTTTTTCTGCAGAGCTTAAATGAACTCTCTGCTAAAGGGTTTCACTTTATGAGCAAGAGATGGTTGCTTGATAGTTATCATTGCATTTTAACTATTTTCATTCCTCAAGGTGCTCTGGCACCCTGCCTGATTTGTAATTCTAGCTTGCAGGTATTTTTAATCTAATGATTGGTATTTAAGGCAGCTTTTTGCAAGCAAAGAAGCTTTTTGTATTTTTGTACAGGTAATCCTTGACTTACAACGGTTCACTTAATGACCATTCAAACTTACAATGGTACTGAAAAAAGTGACTTATGACCATTTTTCACACTTATGACTGTTGCAGCATCCCCATTGTCATGAGAAGCCAGGCGAGGAGAAGCGCTCCTTGACATGAGTGATGTCGAGTTGGCCACGCCCACCCAGTCACATGACCACCAAGCTACACCCACCAACTAAGCCACGCCCACAGAACCAATTGTTAAAAAAACTGAATCCCACACCTAGTCACCACTACTGGTCTGGCATAACCCACTTGCTGCCATTGGATGGCCCACTGTTGATGTTTGTTTGCTGCTGCACAGTTTGTCACCACTTGGCCAGTCATCATTGCTTATCACATCACCACTTCACCATTTCTGGCACCTGGCCTACTGCCACTGCTGCTTAGCCCAAATGGACTGTCTGGTCCATTGCTGTTTGGCCACCATTGCCACCATCTGGGATAGCAACATGGTCACTTGACCTTCTGCTGCTGCCTGGCCTACTGAGATGATTGCTTGGTCTGCAGCTGCTAACCACACACTCACTTATATTTGGTCTGCCGTGACTGCTCCATGGTCTGTCATTGCTTGGCCCATCATTGCTGCTTGGCCTATCACCACTCAGCCTACAGCTGTTGCCTGGACTACCACCACTTAGCCTACAGCCGAGTCACTCTGCTCACTGCCATTGCCTTGCCTTTCACTGTAGCACATAAACCAACCAAAGTCCTCCAAAATATTCTAGGTAAACAAAAAAACCTAGTAGCCTCTGAAGAAAAAACAAGAATCATCTACGATACAACAGTGTAAAGACTACAGTAGCCACTACCTAGGGCAAACAGGCAGAACACATCCATGAACACCATCTAGAAGTCAAGATATGACAAAAACTCAGCAGTCAGAAGTCATGATGAAAACTCTTTAATTTCACAAAATATGGACAGACTTTACCACAATTTCAACTAGGAAACCATGACTTTCCTTGATCAAGCCAAGTCGAAAAACACTAGAGAATTTCTGGAAATCTGGCACACTCATAAATAGGCTATTAATAGACATAAATAACATCTATGTACCATTCAAAAGAGAATCAATGAGCCAAAAAAAGGAACAAATCCAGATGAGCATAGATTAATATCAAGATTAACATCAGACCAACAATCAAGAAGGAAATAATACCCCAATCAAGGAACTGCCAAACAAACTAACAATAAGCCCAACCCAAAAACCACTAAGATCAGTGGTCCCCAACCACTGGGCCCCGGACCGGTCCCGGTCCGTGGATCATTTTGTACCGGGCCGCAAAGAATGAAAGTAAGGCGGGTGCCACCATCTTGTTTCGACGGCGCTTGAGAAAGTGCTTCCGGGTGAGCTTGTCGGTCGTCGGTTGGAAAGCGGCGTTTGGGTGCTGAAGGAATCCTCGCACCTTAGTTTCGTCGAAGAGGGTGGGGACTTCGAACGAAGAGCCGTCCCGATGGTGGTGGAGTCTTGCGTTACTCAGGAGGAGATTAAGAAAGAGCCCAAAAAGCCCATCGACCGCGAGAAGGTACAAAGGAGGAGTTGAAGGTGGCGGGGAGAAGCAGGGGACGGCTGGCTGGCCGGTCGCTCGGCCCGCCTTGCCTTGGTCATGCATGCTGATGCCGGTACCGGTCCATGGATCATTTTGTACATTTTGTACCGGGCCGTGGTACAAAAAAGGTTGGGGGCCACTGACTAAGATCACTCCCCTAGGGCAAGTCACTAGAATATAAATTGAGAGCAAACCTACTTCTTTACTAATTCTGATGATGTTACCTAGTTTGGGTAATGAAATGTTTGCAAAAAAAACAACTAAGCTCAGAGACCACAAAGGATCCCTCGAATAGATCAGAAGACAATGGGGAATTTTCCTATTTTTGATCCAAAAATCTGAAGTTCCATATTTCTAAGATCAACAATAATAGAAAATAAAATGTGTGTGTTTGTATATGTATTTCAAAAGCTCATAGTCTGAATGACTGAGCATATTAGCAATTCCTTCAAAGATGTAGCTGCTCTTTTAAAATAGAGAAATAAATAGCTTTTATTTGCACATAAAGTATTTTTCTATTTCCCTTCTCATAAAATAGAATATAGAATGAAGAAATTACTGCTTTCCATTAAGATGTCTTTCATCTGCACAGTTTAAAGTGATTTCTGAGGGGGAATTAAAACAGGTTTTCTGTACAAACAGTTCATCAGAGTATAACAAGCTTAATGGATAACTTGACTTTAGAATACATTATATATTTAAATAGTCGAGATTTCATCATATTCCATGACTGCTCATCTTGCAACCATTTTGAAATTTATGTATGATAGAAGTTTTCACTCCTGGCCTGAAACATAGCAAAGAATATACTACAAGTGCATGTCTCAAAATATCAAATGTCTGAATGAATTAATATCTCAAAAATGTGTCTCAAGAGGGAAAAATAGCTCAAATTTAGAAATTACACTCAGTTTAAAGACTTAAGGATTTTATTTTCCTCTATTGCATGTGCTTGGAGGCCACAATAAGCTAATAAAATATCTAGGCCAATTTTTTGATTCAGGAAACTAAAGCAGAAAAAACTATCTTGAATTTTTCACATCACAAAGAATAGGTGGAAAGCAATCCATAGCTTATATTATCTATAAACTATGGAATCAAATATAACTGAAAAGCCAGATAAGGCATCCTATGTCTGGTTTAGAGGCCCACCTATGATTTGATATAAAAGTAATGGAATATCAACATTTACTGTAATAGAGCTATTCTAATATATATGACAACAATTCATGCCATGGTTAAATCACGGGGAAAGATAAATACATTAGTAAACACGCCTCTTACTTGGCTCTTTTCATAATTCTTTCACAGTCTACTTGCACTAAATAACAGCCTAAGTTGCTTAGCTCCATGTTGTATTATGTCTGTTAACGATGATTTATATTTGTCTTACTAGAACCCAAATGTTGTTGATTTTATCACATTACATATATTATCTACCCTGTGTCTGGATTTCAAATATTTCGGTATTTTAACATAACATGTGACTCTATTAATAAAATTCTAGCCTCACAGTAAACAAGAACAGCACAGAATATTTACTTAGTTTTTGGAACATAGTGGCCAAGATGTAACAATTTGGTAAGGTCCCCAGTCATAATGATTTATTCATCAGCATTTACTGTAGGAAATGCACTTCTCTTTTAAAAAAGCATTTAGATGACTATCTGTTGTCAACAAAATTACATCAGTTTCAGATTTCTAAATTTACCTCAAGTTAGATTGGACTAATGGATTAAAGCTCTGGGGTAACAGCAGGAAGACCTGATTCTAGTCCAGCCTTAGGCAAAGAAACCAAATGAGTGATTTTGAGCCAGTCACTCTTTCTCACCTTAGGAAATTACATGGCCTTGCCTGTATATTATCATAAATCATGTCCAATGCTACATTAAAAAAACAGTTTGTAAATACAGTATTTATTCTGTCTTATTTGCAGAATTATTTGCATGATCACAACAAACAATTATTTACCTTCATTTGTGAATATATTCTAGTTTTTTTGGCCCTAAAATATAATTTTTTATTGCAATATCAAATTAAATTTGCACACAGCATTCTTTTTAAATCTTGAGAATCTTATAAGTTGAGAAAACAGTGTTTACTTCTAAATTTCAATTCATTATTGTGAAAAGTATTCAGATTAAGTTTAAGAGCTGGATGGATGAATGGATGGATGGAGAGCTGAAATTAAATACACCTGAGGAACTTCCCATGGCAGAATATTATTTGGCTAGAAACAACAAATACATTTTCTGAGCCTCAGCCAAAGTAAGGTTATTTTTACTGATTCTCAAAATATATTTTCATATGGATTGCAGATCTTTTTGATAATCTAAAAAAGACCCAATGTCAGTCAAATCTGAATTGGCATAAATATGCAATAAAAGAATCCCATTTAAGAGACTTTTAACTCTACCAAATTACAAATCAACCATCTGCATAAAAACAAGGTAAGGTTAAAAACTAAAAGCTATATTGTGGCTATGATTACATAATTTTAGCGCAACTTAATGTCAGTTAAAATAGGCTTAAACAGAGAGTTAGCTAATTATATAATTATTACCCTGAAACAAATGTGATTTCAAATAAGCTTAGCTGGGTGATGCCATTTATTTTTTATTTCAGAATATTTTTTCTGTATTTGATTGCATATATTTCATAGCTGTAAATGTCATAATAAAATATATATAACATGCATTGATTAAAACAAAATTCATTTAACTTACAGGTTGAAGTAGATATATTAAGGAACACTCTTGAATAACTATGATGGGAAAAGAGGTTATCTTAACTGCATGGAAGAGAGTTTCCACAGATGCCATGATTTGGTCAAAGCGACCTCCAAGTCCACCCAAAGTTATAATCATGTCCATCTAACAGAAATAAAAAACACACACAAAGAAAAAAATAAATAGAATGTTGAAGAAAGATCCAAAAATACAAGTATATTTTGCACCTTTCCTATAAAATATAAATGCACATGTTTACAAAGCATAAATATAATTTGAGATGTTAAATAGATTTTTAAAATATCAACAAAATCTTTATAGTAGTGGGAGAATTTATAAAATAAGCATATTTGAAGATATTAGCCTCATTCATTTTGATCCTCTTCTTTTTATATAATGATGATGATGATACAAATATCATAGTCTTGATTTTCTAGGGTTGTAATAATAAAGGAATGAACAGAAATAGGAACATTTCATTGATTTTCTAAATGCATCTTAATGACAAATCCATGGAAGACAAAGCAAATAGTAGCTCAAAGTTGTGGTGGGTCTCTAATAATAGAAGCAGTAGATTTTGAAAATCAGTTGCTAAGTAATATGAGTAGGAGGATTATTTTTGGAATGAAATGGCTAGATAATTTATCCTGGAACTAGTAGAACTTTTCAAAGAATGGGATGGGATGGGATGGGATGGGATAGAATATTTGGCCAAGTGTGATTAGATGCACAAGGAATTTGTCTCTGGTGCAGAAGCTCTAAATGTACATGCAACACAATAGAGTAATCATTAATCATAATACCAAAAAGAGGGGGTAATAAAAAAAAAGAAGGCTAATACTAATAATGCAGCCATACAACATGAGTTATGAGTTATGAGATACATAGACGGTACTGTGAGAGTTAGGTGTTCAGCAGGGTGATGGCAGAAGGAAAAAAAATCTGTCCCTATGCCTAGTTGTTTGGCATGCAAGAAAGATTTGAAACAATTTATGTCCAGGATGGAAGAGGTCTGTAGATATTTTCTCAGTTAGGGTTAGGGTTAGGGTTCAGACCATTTACAATTGTTCTTTCTGCAATTCTAATTATCTTCTGGAGTCTATACCTGTCTTGTTTGGTTGCTGTACCAAACCAAACAGTTATAGAAGAACAAATGACAGACTCAATAATTTTCCTATAAAACTGTATCAACAACTCCTGGGGCAGTCTGAACTTCTGGAGTTGATGTAGGAAGAACATTCTTTGTTGTGCCTTTTTAATGATGGTTCTAATGCTCGGGGTCCATTCAAAATCCTGGGAGATTCTAGAACCCAAAACTTGAAGGATTATAGTTGAGGATACTGTGCTGTTGAATATATTAAGGGGTGGTAGAATAGAAGGGCTCTTCTTAAAATCTACTCTCATCTCTACTGTTTAAGCATGTTCAGCTCCAGACTGTTATGGCTGCACCACAAGGCCAGTTGCTCAACCTCAGATCAGGTTCATCATTGGCTCGAATGAGACCGTATTGACTGTTATATCATCTGCAAACTTCAGTATTTTAACAAAGGGATCCTCAGAAATGCAGTCATTGGTATATATAAAGAGAAAAGCAATGGAGAGAATACACAACTTTGAGGGGCGTTTATGCTAATTGCCCAGATATTAATTGTAATTTTCTCTAGCTTGCTGCTTTCTATCTATTAAAAAGCTAATAATTCACCTACAACTATGGACAGGCTCAGCTAGCTTAATCAGTTTAAAATGAAGAATTTCTGGAATAATAATTTCTACATATGGGCGTATCAAATTTTTCAACTTTCAATTTCCAAACATTAGGAGTACTCAAAAGTTGTGACATGCCTCGGGGATTGTAAAGATATTTTGGTTACTTTAATATAATTTAGATGTGATTGGTAAGTAACTACATAAATACAATAACTTTTTAACAGTTTTTGTTTCATTAAAAAAAACCATGAAGCATTACTGTTCTATGTTAACATTACACTTTAAAGTCTTATTTGAATGAATATTTTTCTTTATTGCATTCTTTATTATATTGTCTAAATGCATTGGAGATCCAAAATACCTTTATAGTATCTGTTACATTGTTGTTCTTGCAAAAAGAACTTTCTCCATATTCAGTTATCCAAGCAGGAGTGGACTACTGACTTTTTAAACTAGTTTGTGGGCCAGTGATACAGCCCATCAGACAGGGTGGGGCTAAAGGTTTTGGCATACTTGTATGTGAATGAGAAGAGAGTGAAGGAAACTGAACTGTGTCAATTTATAAAGACATTGCATTCCTACTTATTTTATTGTTTTGATAAAAACTTGGTTTAGGTGTTTTTAACAGTTCCATGTTGGCATAACATTTTCATACAGCGTTTCCTTGAAAATCTGATGGGATATTCAAATTATAGTATCAAAAATTGGCCAAATATTGTCATGTGTGATTAATAGTTTTTGTGTTATCTCTATTGGGTCTAACGGAATGAATAATTAATTTTAAGCTTTCTCTTAGGATGTGTATAGTATAATAAAAATATGAATATGGTATAAATAGAAAATATGCATCAATTCAGCATATAAAAAAATTAGAAGAATAATGTGTGTGTGTGTGTGTGTGTGTGTGTGTATATATATATATAATCATTACATAAAAATGGCAACCTGCACACATTGTAGGATATTTATAGACAACAGTAGCTAGATAACTATACATAAAGTAATGCATCACAAGTATTGATTAGAAATAATAGTTGCATAACCAACTTAAACTGATGTAATTTTTTCCATGTCGGCATAACATTTTAATACAGTGTTTCCTTGAAAAAATGTTAAATCTGATGGGATATTCAAATTATAGTATTAAAAAAAACCTAGATAATTCTTAATGTTTGTTACAGCATTTACCTGGAAAATAATATATTTTTGAATGGTACATTTTATTACTTTGATTAATTTGTCTATATTTAAATTTAAATTTAAAAGTTAACACATTCTCTGTTTACCCCTATCTGGGCAATTTAAAAAGAAAATACATTTATTACATCTGAATCAAGTATCAAAATGGGAAAGATATAATGCATTGAATATTCATTCAACTCAGCCCAACTCAGCTCTCTACCTAGTTTACATCTAGTTGTATTTCTATGCTCTTTTGATTTAACAATTTTGTATTCACAATATTTTTGTTCTTTTATTTTAGTGACTGACAAAATTGTGATGAATTCATAACCTATATTTTCTCTATTGTATGCAATAGTTTCTCATAAAAGCCAAGTTAAACACAAAATTTAAAGATCCAGAAAATTAAAAAAAATATTATTTATGTTTAAAATTAAAAAGAACTATATCAATTTCACAACAGAAACTTCTGAAGAGAAACATGAGAGGTAAGCAAGAAAAGACTACAGAAACTGTTGAAAAGCAGAGTTTGGAATAGTCATAAACATTTTTATGCAAATGACTGGAAATTATTATATCACATCCTGCACTTAGCACATTGGGCTACAAGTATACTGCTCCAAGTCCATAGTTTTCAATCAGTAGCTACAGTCTCCATAGTCTTCCATTTTAAAGATCTTTCTGAAATATTCTATTTGGCACCAGATATTCTATGTGTTCAAAGTATTGCAGCGTAAATTCAGCGCCAGAAAAGTAAAGACAGATGGCTGAGGCTTCATTTAACTTTTTTATAAATACAAGTAAATTTTACAATACCAGTTGTAGATTTCTTCAACATAGAGCAAACTCAAACAGAAGCAGACATGTTACAGATTCAGAGCTTAACAGCAATTCAGGAGCTCAGAAATAGACATCAGTTTCACTTTAGTTCAGCAGGCAAGCGAATAAGTTAGTTTCTCTTTCACTTTAGAGATGAGCACAGACCATGCCTACATTCTCTTTTTAAGTTTCAACCCTCAATTCAGCTCTCATTGGCTGACCCTGTTACAAAGTTCTATTCCAGTTCATGAATATATTCTGACACTGTGGTCCTCCTCTTTTTCTCTTAACCATCTGATGGTATCCAATTGATTGCAGTCTTTGCTTGACATTGCTCACATGTGGAGCACATCCAGCAAAGTGCAGTTGATGTTATTAGTAATTCTTATAGATTTCCAGGCTTCACTGGAATACATGGCAGTTGATATGACAATGGCATTAAATAATCTGATCTTGGTTGCTGTGTGGATGTGGTCCATGCTGAGCACATTTGTTGGAAGACAGCAGTTGTTTTATCTATTCAGCATTTTACTTCTGCTTCTATTTCCCCCATCTGATGCTACCAAGAGAGTTACATTGTTCCACAAATTTAAGGTCTGTTCTTTTAATGTTATTGGACTGTTGTCTTGAACATTGCCAACTTGCATTAGCTTGGTCTTGTCTACACTATTTTTAAGCCCTCTTTACTTGACTCTAAAATAGAATTATCATAAATCATTCTATTTTCCTATTGCAACTCCTCCAGAAAACTAGTGTATAACAATATTGGACAGGATTATAGAATTATAGTATGTCTGCTTTATTTCACTAATTCATGGATTAAAGATAATTATTTCTATCTTAAAAGTCTGACATAGCCATTTTGTAGTTATTTGTAGACATTAATCTGGCAGTTGCACTGTATGACAGCAGCCCCCAACCTTTGGTGTCAGCATTCCAAGTAACTGCTTCCCTGAACAAAAGTCCAAGGCATCCATCTTTCTTTCTGTTGATTAGGTATATATCAAATTGGCAATGACTTGGTGTAATTCCAACTCTGGCTAGATTCCGGAATTACACCTAGTAAAAAGCAAAAGTTTGAAACTTCCCCCCAGAATCACAATCTCCAATCAATTCTTAGTCCATTAGTCTGATGACTCCAAACTCCATCTTCCTCCAGCTGCAGGCACCTTCTCTGTTCTCATGGCAAAGAATGCCACCTAGACATAACATTTCCCCTTTATCTCTACAACCCCCCTCTCACCAGCTAAAGAGTGATGAACCTGAAATAGAATTGAATTCCTTTGCAGAAAGCCCAAAGAAGCTAGGGAAAGAAATGGACAAAAGCTAGAATAAAATATGGCTACACATATGTCATCTTCAGGGTCGACAGCAGTGGTGGGATTCCAATTTTTTTACTACTGGTTCTGTGGATGTGGCTTGGTGGGCGTGGCAGG